GGGTGCATATGCGTGTGCGTGTGTGCGTGTGTGTGTGTGTGTGTGTGCGTGTGTGTGTGTGTGTGTGCGCGCATGCCAGAGGTCAACCTGATGTATTATCATGCTTCATATGCAGCTCACCTTCGTTTTTTGTTTGTTTTATTTTTTCCTTTATTTCTTTTTGTTTTGTTTTGTTTTGAGACACGGTCCTTCACCATCCTGGAACTTACCAAGTAGGCTGGCTATCCAGAGAGCCCCAAAGATCTGCTAGTCTCCACCTTTCCAGAGCTGAGATTATAAAAAGCATGAGCCATTATATCTAACATCATTAAACATGGGGATCAAACATAGGTCCTTGTGCCTGCGAGGCAAGCGGTTTACCAACAGAGCCACCTCCCCAGACCCCCGTGTATGGGTTTTTTGAGGACAGCCTGGCTGACCAAAATGATTAGGAAGGAAAGATGCAGAGGGTTAACTGTAGACACATCTATCAGAGGAAGCGAGAGGAAGTCTCTCCAGGTAGTCTTGACGCTCTGGAAATGACAGGCAAGTCCATCAGCTGGAAATGAGAGTATGATTCAGGAGGCCAGGAATTCAAGTAGACAGGTCACATGACAGTGCCTCTGAGAGCCGTGGGTGAGGGGAGCATCAGGGAGGGCTCTAGATAGAGTCCTTGGGGTTAATGAGCTGATGGGTCCAGGTTCTGATCCTAACAGGCTCATGTTCCTATAAAGGACAGGATGGTCTGGGCTGCAGGTACAACTGACCAGGTCTGCCTATTCCCATTAGAGTTCATCTGTCAGAGTGATCTGTGGAAGCAGCTGCCCCAGGATAGTCTTATTTTTCAGGTCCACACAATGCTGAGCGGCCTTCTATTTACTGTAAGCAAGTACTAGCAGATAGGATCTGAGTGTTGTGGGTTTACCTTGGGTACCCCAGAGTTTGGTTAAGGTCAGCATCCTTAACAGCAGAGAGACTGGGGCCCAGTGGAGAGAGAGAGAGACTGGAAGGGACCACCACAATGACTAATACTGGAAAGTCATTCTGGGCCTCTCAGACAAGTAGGGGTACTGGGAAGACGGCTACACTTCTGTTTTTTGAGCTAGAAAGTTGGAGAGTTTCTGTTTCAGGGTCATCAACTAGAAAGAGGGAGGGGCAAGAATAAGAAAATGACAAGCAGGGCGGTGAAGACAAAGAATGCATTCTCTGCAAAGCCTTTGATCTGGTTTGGAAATGGGATTTTATTGGGCATAGTTATGTGTTAGTTAGTTCTCCACAGTTATAAAGCACCAGGGAAAATCAGCTAAAGAGGAAAGGTTCATTTTGACTTAGAGTTCCATTTGGGCCCTTGGCAGCAGAGTCTATGATGGTGAGAGCATATGGTAGAGGACACTGTTCACTCCAGGGTAGCCAGGAAACAGAGCCAGGGTCATGGCATCCTCTCACGTCCTTCCATTAGGCTCTGCCTCACAAGTCTGACTATCTCTGGACTGTTCTATGAACCGGGCACCAAGCTTTCAACACACGGGCCTTTGGAGAGTATACCAAATCTAAACTACAGGGCTGGGAAGACGACTCAGTGGGTGAAGTGATTGCATTCTCAGTACAACAACCTGAGTTCAGTTCCCAAGAAGCCACCTTAAAAAGCCAGGCATGGTGGAAGCAAATACTGGGAAGTAGAGACAGCCGGCTCTGGGGTTTTCAAGGCTGCTCAGCTCAGCCAAATCACTGAGTTCCAAATCCCAGTAAGAGACCCTGTCTCAAAGAAAAACAAGATGGGCAAGGTCCCTCAGGATGACACTCAAGGCTGACCTCTGGCTTCCACACACGATAGACAAAAATGCTAACAGCCTGTTTCCATCATTGGTCTCAGAGTCTCTACCATCAATTGTGCCTCAAATCCAATCCGCAAGAGCCACCTATTTTTAGTGCTGTTGATATAACTTCTCAGAAACATGACAGCCCTTAAGGCAGGAGTTGTCCCACAGGGGCAGTTTCCCTCCTTGTATTCACAGAGCATTTGACAATGTCTGCTGATGTTGTCTGCTGTCATGGCCTTGCGGAGATAGTCATAGCCCCTAATCTGGAGGGGCCAGAGATGTCGACAGGGCTTATGCGATGTTTGGAACTGCTATATCTGGCCCACATGTCAACAGGATCACAGTTGACCCAGGGATGCATGAAACCCCAGGTTCTAATCCCCTGCCCAGCATAAACTTGGCATGGTGGCACACAGCTGTACTTAGTAGGTAGAGGCAGGTGGGTGAGAGGTTCAAGATCATCTTTAGTTACTCTGGGCTACATGAGGCCTGTCCCCAAAAAACTGTGTGTGAAGAAACCCTGTTTGAATCACGGGGTAGGAAGATTGCCAGAAGTTATAGAGGACTGCCGTAAGAGTGTTTTCAGACATGCCAGGGCAGGTGCACACACAGTCAGCGCAGTCATGGTTGCCTGAACAAATCAAGCCAGGCAACACGTCCCCATGCATGGGGGAGGGACTTACAGACTCCACCTCTAGCTGAGGCACTATTGGCAGTTCATCACTGATATGAGGATGAGGGTCAGTTTTCTTCACAGATGTGGACCCTGGTAGGTTCCCCATGCTGTGGTGGACTGTCTCATATACCCATGAGTGTATGAGCAGCATAAATTATACTCAGTGAGTTATTGGTAAAGGAGAGACAGACAGACAGATATAAACTTGGGACTTGGGAGGGAGTGGGGATGGATCTGGGAGGAGTTAGGTGAATAAGTGGGAAGTAAATATGATAAAAAAGTATTACAATAAAAACAAGAGAACCAGTATAGAGAGCATAATTATTTTTAAAAGCTTTTTATATGTATGAGCATTGTGCCAGCATGTCTGTGTGTACCCTGTGCATGCCTGGCAACTCTCATTGTGGCAAGCTGACATTAAAACCAGCCATAATAACCAGTGCTAGAGAAGTGGAGACAGGAGCGTCCATGGGGATCGCTGACCAGCCAGCCTGGCCTACTTGGTGAGTCCCAGGTCAGCAAGAGGCCCAGCCTCAAAAGGCAAGGTGGATGGCAGAAGCTGCTGTCTGGCCTCCACATCCACACCCAGACTCTCACACACACAAAGACACTCTCCTATGAGTGCTGTAATCATTTCATTCACTCACCACCATTCACTGAACACATACCTACCGAGCTTCCTCCTACATGGGGCAGGTCCTAGGGAGAAAACTGAACAAGACAAGTTTCTGTGCTCATGCTACAGCATGTGTCTGGTGGGACAGGTGTGTGTTGGGAGAGCAGACCTGACTGTCCCAGGTGAAAGCCCTCATGAGCTATATGGAGTGCGGCAGTAGAGAAGATGATGTGCTCCGTTTCTGACGGGGAAGGTGGGGAATGGTCGCCTTGAGCATTCACTGTTTTTCAGTTTCCACTTGCAAAGGACCCTTCTGACACCTCCCCTCTAGGAAAGGGCGAGGAACAAGCACTTCAGCCTCAGTGGTCTCTTTAGAAGAAGCCTATGACATTCTCCTAACCAAAGGAAAGAAAGAAATTCTCTTTATTATCCTTGAATTTCAAGATACAGTGTCTGACCACCCAGAGTCAAACGAACAAAATGGAAAAGTTGCAGAAGCTGGGAAACAGTCCAAACAGTCCAATTCCACCCTCATTTATTAAAGGCGTTTTCTGCCACAAACCCCAAGAGATAGAATCAGAGGATAAGAGGCCCACAGGAGGCCTTTTCTTAGCCATACTCACAATGCATATGTGTATGTAAATAACATGCAAGTACCAGGGACACAGGGGCAGAACAAACCTCCGGCTGGCCAGACCCCTCCTCCCAAAGTTAAGAATCTAGAGATCTGGGCTCCAGGCCCAGCTCTGCTCCAAACATGCTGATCTCAAGTAAGTCCCCTCTGAGGCCTTTGATCGTCTGCAAAATGAGGCACTTAGGACTAAACACAAGCAGGGTCTATGGTGCAGTGAAGACTTGAACCAAGCAAAGACTCGGTTTCCCCATCTGTTTACTCCTGAGATAACCTGGAGCATCCCTTTGAGACAAAACTGTGAACTGGGTTCGATCCTTCAGCCCCTGACGCAGCACAGGAATGCTTTAGGAAACGGGAAGCAAAATTTTTGACCCAGATGGAAACCTCAGGTTTTATTCCCTGTGGTTTCTTAGAACTCAGACCTGGTGAGGGAGCACTCTGCAGAGCTCCTCAGGAGAGGTAACCCTGGAGTCCAACCCGGGCAGCCTTGACCTTCTCCCCAGTTCTCTCCATCCTGCCAGGCTCACTGCAGTCTGTCTCTCATTCAGATATCCCAGGGGAAGCCGCCCAAAGTTCCCAGGAGTTTCTATGGGAAAGAAACACAAACCACCACCCGCCTGGCCTCTCTCTCTCCTCCAGTATTCTTCCTCTCCTGCCCTGAGTTTGTTGCTACCTGCTGCTCCCAGGAACCTGCAGGAGCAGGCTTTAGAAAGCTAGCTCCCTCCAGGCGGGCGAGGACTGAAAACGGTCCCACCACAGATGCAGAAACTCCCCTCAGAGCTCTCCGAAGTTTCCCATCTGCAACCCGGAGCGCGGCGCGTGTGAAAACATCAAGGCGCCAGCCAGCCTGAGCAATGTAGTTCTGTCTTCTGACATTAAGCCTCCCCCGCGCCCTTTCTGAGCCTTGATCTCCTTGCTTGTAAAGCTCAAGTGACCAGGGTCTCAAAAGGAAACGAGCGGAGTTTGATTAAACAACTAGAGGGCAAATGTCTAGGACACGACGCTTGGGACAGCCTCAGAACTGCCTCCTGGAAAGCGAGCCCCACTGCGGGAAGGGATGAGTGCAGGCAAGGAAACCGAGCTTAGATCCTCCTCACAGAGCTCAAGAAGTTTTTCCCTTCGGAGAAGGGGACTCCGACAGAGTGGACACTAGTATCGGTGAGGGAGGGGAAACCGGCTGCTCCCCGTAACTCCTAGGACGGGATAGAGGACCCCGGGCTGGCCGGTCGGGTCCACGTCTGGGGGGACGCGATGGGGAGGGGGCGCGTTACTCACGGTGTACGCTGCGCTAGCGAGCAGCAGCAGCCGCAGCAGAAGCGGGGACCGTGGCCCCCCTGGCGACAGCCCGGGTCTCGTGGTGGTACCAGGCATGCTCTTCCGACTGTTGTCCGCCTCTCGCGTTCTGACCTCTCCGGAACTAGGTGTCTATTTCGGTGTCCCTTTCAGAGTCCTGCACGGCATCCAGGACCCTGGGCGACCCCCAAGCCCAGAGCAACCATGGCTGGACCTACCCAACCCGACTGGATCCACAGTCAGGCCAGGGACTCTGCTCCCTGAAGGAGGTGGCAAGAGAGCTAACCTGCAGTGCCTATTGATAAGGACTGGACTGCTCGAGACTCCACCCCGCTGGGAGTAGCAGGGGGGTGCGGCGCGGCACGGAGCTGGTGGGGAGGAGAGCAGGGGAGGGACCCCAGCCACCCGCCCGGAGCCGCTGCAACGCCGGTCCCCTCCAATCCAGAAAGTACTCTCTCTGGAGGATCTAAGTCATGTTCCTTGAGCAAAGACAAGGCAGGCAACAACTTTTTTTTTTTTTTTATCCTCTATTGAGACAGGGTCTCACTATATAATCCAAATTGGCTTTAACCTCACAAACCTCCTGCCTCAGTTTCCCTAGTGCTGAGATTACAGATGTGGGCTCCCACTCTGGTCCAGGGCACCCCCAATAATCAGCTAACGCTTCCCAGGCTAATGTTTAAACAAACAGAATAAGTCAATGTCCACTGCGTCCTACAGGACAGCGTGAAGTGGTGTAAACGCTCTTGTTCTTCAGCTTTCACTGTTGCAACAAATAAACAGCTGATCCACTCAGAGAGAGGAAAGGGCTGCTTTGCTCAGAGTCTGGAGGGCTTCAGCCCGACGGCCCCCAGCTTTGCGCCTGCGCCAAAGCAGCCCATCATGCTCAGGGTTTCGAGTGCACGGTGGAGCTAATGTCCTGCTTAGGGAGTCCTGGGGACAAAGAGAAAGAGGTCAGGGCCCAATAGTCTCCTCTGGGGTCACACTCCTATGACCAAAGACCTCTCACTAGGAGGAGCCATAATTTCCCACTAGGTCCACCCCAGGGGCAAAGCCTTTAACACAGGGGCCCTATAACAATGACTCCCCAAACTATAGAAGATAATCTTATTTTTTTAAATAGTCCTAAGCTCATCCTGGCCCCAAACTCTTTTTATGCAGTCAGGGATGATCTTGAATTTGTGTTCATCCTTTCTCCACCTCCTGAATTCTAGGATTGTAACCACGTGTCTCCATACCCAGTCATGCAGTGCGGAGATCAAACTCTCGAAAGGGAGGCTTCCAGCAGGCTAGGCAAACACCCTGACAGCCCAAGCGAACAGCACTTCTTGGTGTGAGGGTGAGATGGTAGATGGTAGACACTGCAGCGGCCACTATGGCAAAATACTGTACGTTTTCCGAGTTTCAACATCACCCTCCCTGGGAAAGAGAGAGACCATCCTTTTATGTCAATGACCCCTTAGTCATATTCAATTGCCCCGTTTCTATACAGGAGAGTGGAGCATCTAAACCAAAGTCCCAGCCATGAGAACCTTAGAAATTTAATATGTTCTCCCAAGAGTGTCTTAAAGGTCATCCTAAAGATATGAGAGACTGTTCTTGACTTTGGATAAGTCCTGCAGATATTTCCTGTGTGGGCATGTGTGCCTGTGTGGAGGTGTGTGTAGGGGTTGAAGATGAGTAGTGTCTTCCTCAGCCACTCTTCCCTTTATTTTTTGAAGGAAGGTCTCTCAGTGAACTTGAAGTTCATTATTTGGCTACACTGCTGAACCCCAGAGGTCCTCCTGTCTCTGCTTCCCCAGTGCTGGGGTAACAAGGGCACACCTGTGTCCCTGGCATTTTATAAGGTCTTCACACTTGCAGAGCGAGCACGTTACAGACTGAGTCATCTCCCTAGCACTTAGAACCTCACTGGGGCAGGTTGTAAGGGTAAACACAAATCTTCAGAAAACAAAAAACTCAATGAAAATTCTACTCAGTGCCAAAAGGGAAAGAAATATTTCCCCTCTGCCCTTCCTTTCAGCATAAACTTAAGAATATTTTCTGTCTCTTTACAGTATATACAAATCCTTAAGAATATAAACAAGCCTCTTGCCAGTTTTGAATCCCAGTACCCTCTCCAGCTCCTTCTAGCCCTTATTTTTTGAGACAGTGTCTCTGGCCCAAACTTGCCTTTAATTCCCTGTGATATAGTTGGGGACGCCCTTGACTGTTTGGTCCTCCAGACCCTTTGTGCTAGGACTGCAGATACCTTCCATGACACTTGGTCTTGTGTGATGCTGGGACCGAACCCAGGGCCTTGTGAATGTGAGGCAGGTGCCCTGCCGCTCTGCTGGAGCTTCCTATTTGTTGGAATGAGCTGAGGAGTTTCCTCCTTTGTTTGGTAAACACAATCCTGGGTGCATAAGTAAGCAGCCCTTTCCAACCATATCAAAGAGTGACACTTCCGTTGCTGCTGTTGTAGAGGACTGACTTCATGCTGACTGAATGAAGGCATTGGCCACATCTTCCGTTGCTGTGATAAAATACCCTGACAAAAGCAGCTTAGACAGAAAGGGTTTCCTTTGGCTCACAGTTTGAGGGTTCACAGCCCATCATGATGGGAAAGGCATGGAAATAGGAGATTGAGGCAGCTCTCACACGGCATACACAGTCAGGAAGCAGAGATGCATGATGGTGTCAGCTCACCTTCTCCTTTTTATTCAGCCCAGGAACAAGCCCAAAGGATGGTTCTGCCTACAGTTAGGGTGGGGTTTCCCTACTCAATTAGCCTAATCTCCCTCATAGACATGTGCAGAGATTTGTCCTAGATGATTTTAGAGCATGTCAACTTGATAACATCAACCCTAACACCAAATTAGAAGAGCTTCTTATTTTCTTTGCACTATGAAGAACATTTACCAAGCTGGCTAGAAATCGGGCTTTTAAAATTATCTCCCCAGTTATGTCTTAGGTTTGTTTGTTTGCTTGCTTCTGCACAGCAGATGTGAGACATGCTAGAGAATTAACATTCTTTGACAAACATTAACTGAGCACCTGCTCTGCTCCAGGTGCTACATTAGAGTGATGGGGGCCTGGGGAATTCCCCTTGCCAACCTTGGCCTCAACGAGGCATCTACAGTGCCACAACCACGTCCTCTCCAGCACTTATTTGAGAGTCCTGTGTCACCCACAAAATGAATAAGCCTGTTGGTTACCAAACATAAGCAACTGTAGAATGCTTTCTTTCTCCTATCAGGAGATTTGCCGTAAATTCTATGCAGAGTGGATAGAGATGCTACAAAGTGACTTGGTAAAGTGACTGTAAGATAAGCATGAAGACCTGAGTTTGATCCCTAGCATTCACAGAAGAGGCCAGGCTTGATGGCACACATCTGTGATTCTAGTGCAGGGGAGATGGAGATGGGCAGATCTGGAGGCTGCTGCTCAGCCAATCTTGCTTCATCTGTGAGCCCTGGGTCTCAGTGACAGACCCTGTTTAAAAAAAGAAAAAAAGAGAAAGATGCAACTGAAGATTCCTGAGGCTGACTTCTGACCTTCACATATATGCACACGTGTTTACATGTCTATGTGGTATACACACACACACAGCATATAGGAAGACATTAGACAACCAAGCCTGATGGATCTGTTAAGCCTGGTGCATAGGTTAAGCCCTGCCAGTCACCAGGCTAGTAGGCCAAATACATTTCATTATCCACATTTTCTGAGGGCCAAGCCTGAAGCCATGTATTGTTTTGCCTGTCAGCCTCCATTCTTCTTTTTAATTACGCAAACATTTCTTGTCCACTCTCAGACCATGGACCTTGTTGGGGCTTTCAGCAAGATCACCCCAAGAGTTAACACACGGCCCTGCAGGGGAGCAGCGTCACCATCCCGCAACCAAGCAAGTGGGGACTGGTCCTGGACAGGCATGGGACCCATCAAGGAGACGCGGCACCAACACATCCTAAATGTGGGCATTACCATCAAGCTGAAAGCAATATGGCAATCTTTTCTGAACTTGTTGGGACATCCTTGTTGAGACTAAAAACAGCTGTATTGGAAAGAACCATCGATGGCAAGAGGAAGGACCCAGCACCTGTCATCTTGGTGTGTCCTTCACCGAAGTCCTAACTTGCCATTCTTGGTTGTCAACTTGACCACATCTGAAATTAACTAAACTTCAAGCAGCTGCGCACATATGTGAGGGTGGTTTTCTTAATTAATCATTTGAAGTGGGAGGCCTCACTTCTAATCTGCATCTTTGAGGTGGGAAGACCTGCCTTTGATCTGGACCATGCTTTCCCCTGGGAGCCTATATAAAGGACAAAGAAGCGGGGCATAGTGTTCATGCCTTCAATCCCAGCACTCAGAGGCAGAGGCAGGCAGGTCTCTGTGAGTTCAAGGACAGCCTATTCTACAAAGCGAGTCCAGAACAGCCAACAGCTACACAGAGAAAAACAAGAACAAAAAACAAAACAAGCAAACAGGGTCTGGAGAGATGGCTCAGAGGTTAAGAACATTGTCTGTTCTTCCAAAGGTCCTGAGTTCCCAGGAACCACATGGTGGCTCACAACCATCTATAGTGATATCTGGTGCCCTCTTCTGGTGTGCAGGCATACATGCAGACAGAATATTGTATACATAATAAATAAATAAAATCTTTAAACAAACAAACAAAAGGACAAGGAAGGTTGTTTTCTCTCTTTGTTGGCTTGTTCTTGCTCTTAATGGGAAATCCATTTCTTCCCAGGCATTTGAGCCTACTTCTTCAGGATTCTGGTGTATTCTATAGTCCAGCTGCGACATCCAGCCTTGGAGACTGAACAACTACTGGATTCTCAGAACTTCTCTTTGGAGACAGCCACTATTAGACTAGCTGGGCCACAGCCTGTGAGCCAGTCTAATGAATCTCATAGATAGATAGATAGATAGATAGATAGATAGATAGATAGATAGATA